GAGGCCGCAACATTTTGGTCTTCATATCTTCATATTGTTTTCAGCTTGAGGTTCCAGTTTTCTGTACCTTTCTTTGAGTGTAGCAGGTTTAAATGCCTCCACGCTGGGTTTTCGCAAATTGTACAACTATTCTAAGTCCACCTTTTGCATACTGCATAAGTAAAGCGACAAAAACCATCTGTACAGTTGTGACCAAGTTCGAGAATATAACTGTACGGATATGTGTATGTATAACCTACCGCCTGATTTAGATAGTGAAGTCCAGTTCTCAATCGTAGTCCCCAAAACGCGTTTCCCGGCAATACTAGTTGCTTGGGCGCCCCAAGGTATGAAACCTGGTCCCGACTGACTGGTCTCGTGGTTGCCACTAATCGGTAAAGTGGTAAGCTGGCTCGCGCCAAGCCCACTCTCTGCACCGGAAAGACTGACAAGACTGCTTCCTTGAATGCCTAGGTTCAGAAAGGCTGTAGAGTTGTAGTAATCAACACAAGGTTGCTGGATGTGATGGTGATGGGGATAGGCGTAGGTCTGCTGCTGTTGCTGCACATGGTGTCCAGAAAGCCCGGAGATCAAAGATGAAGTTTGGGGCGCGGAAGGAAGACTAGAAGAAGTGTGATACTGGCGCTGTTGACGTTGTGGCTGTTGAGTCTGTTGGACAGTACGAGCTAAACCTGAATAGAGAGACGGCTGGTGATGAGGCTGAATAGAGAGTGGCAAGTGCAACTGGCTCCTAGAGACAGGAGGGAAGGGAAACACAGAGGGACCAGATCTCTGGATTGTCGCATTAAGCCTATTGACAAGTGAGCCTGCACTAGAGGGCGGTCGCCTAGGCAACAGACTTTTGCCACTAAGAGGAATTGAGCCCCGACGAAGCGACAGGTCAAACTGAAGCAAACAGGTGCATGTGACACAGAAAGGATAGAAAGAATATGGTGAGGCATCATAAATTAAAGAAGGATTCCTATAACTAAATATGATACATTACTGGGCCTATAGTATAGTCTTGGGAAACTTTCCCATTAAGAAACTTAAATTCATATGTGGATTGAAACTAAGTAAACATTGGAATAAAAATAAATCACAGTTGATATGGGACTGATGGTTGGTTTTTTCCTTACATTTTAATATAACTTTATTCAGGCCTGCTTTCCAAAAGGATTGACTACAGTTTCGATTTCGTCTAGGTCTCAGCAGAACCACCAACGGGACTCGAACCCGGATGATGCACCTTATAGACTCGATTCATTACCACTGCCCCGAAAGTCCCTAAATCATAGGGCAGATGTGAATTATAGGGAAAGACTAGATAAGACCACCTTTTGGGAAGTAAAGCTAAGTGAAATTTAATGGAAACGGGAGACCTATACATATCATTGTGGTAAAACTTTGACTAGCAGTCCTACATCACCCTATGAGACCTAGGCTGAATGAAACTCTTAGTCAAAATTGAATGATAGTTCCGAAACATAATCCAAATAATATGATTTGAACTAAAAAGTAATATTCCTATTCAATCGTGCCAAGAAAGCACATTAGCAATAGGAAATTCCCGTTATGCGTCTCGTCCGGATCTATTTGAAATGTCCTACGGCACTCAGTGTTAGGAACAGTTTTATGCTGTTGATAATGCATAAACATGATGCTGAATAGGCAAACAAGATTTTACGAATCAGGACCTAGTCACTCTAGGTAGTTTAAGGTGATACACTAACTGAGAGTTGAGTTTTCCGACAATGACATTGAATTTTAGTTAGTCTTGCCTCCTAAAAAGCTAACTAATCCACTTCCCACTTAAGAATTTCTGCCAATAAATCGAGCTGGTCGGAGAAATTAAAAAAAGCATTATGTACTATGAATACTTTTTCCAGATCCTTGATTGTCTCCGTTCTATTTGTGTCAGTTGAACCTGATTAAATACCATTAAACTTTAGATGGAGAGCTACTTAATAGATTCACATTAAAATTAATCGGCTCCATTTAAAATGTTTACTTAAGAAGTTAAACTATTCATAAACTAATATGTATTCATCCTATTTCGTTTAAGGTGATGAAGGACTGGTAGTAGAATTTTCCCACAATGATATGAGTTGAGCTGACGCCTCCATTGAATTTCACATAGACTTACTTTCTCAAAAGTTGTTCTCATCTAGACATAAGTGGACTGCAGTTTCGACCACGCATCGGTCTTATCAACACCCTCAACGGGAGTCGAACCGCGACAGTGCAGGATGGCAGTTTGACACGCTAACCACTCGGCTACACAGCCACGAGTGTCCTTGGGTCACAGGGCAAATGTGAATTTCAAGGAAGGCCAGGCCTTTTGTCATATCATATTCTTTTGGTG